TCAAAGCGTGAATGGTTTATTTGTCTTTCTTTCACGTCAAAACGATGTAACGGATTGATTTGATTTATTTTTAATGTGATAATGTTAGGTCGGGAGATTGAAATATGTAGGCTACCTATTATTCCGAAAAAACATCTGGTTCTCACGGGAAACTACGCTAACACTGTTCCTTAAGCACGCGGGTGAAACCTCAGGTAACAGTTTGTATAAATACTATTAATTAGTGTAAATACTAATGGTTAGTATAAACGGTAGCATGTCTTGTGAGCCCGTGTGGGTAGGTACCACCATCATGACTATTTCTGCCCCGAAGCAGCAATGCGTTTCGGTTTGAAGGGTGGGGCAGTCGTTGTACTGTACTCAGTTCTAAGAACTCATGTCTCAAGGTGGGTGGCGGCATTTACGTTGTAGATATCTATGGGCTCCGGTAATCAGTTAACATCAGTTGGGCCATGAGCTCGTCCACCCATCTAAGCAATAAAAAAAAAACTTGGCAAAGAGGGTTTTTGATAGTCACATAGTATAAGCAGAGATTTCTTCTTTCTCCTTAAAATACCTGCATGTAGAAAGGAACAGCTCCAAGATACGACTTGGACATTCGAATTCGAAACTAATATCATATGCAAACGACTGCAAATATTTTTTTAGGTAAAATGAAACTCAACTTTCAACACATTTTATTTTTAAACTTAATTAAATACATGACTTAATTATATTTAACATGGATTATAAAGTCAACGTAATGATTATTATTTGTTATTAAAAATGAACATTATCTACCCATTTTTATACCTATTGAGTATTTATTACAATTACTTGAAATTACAATAAAATAATATATCATACAAGATATTCATTCGCTATCACATTACTAAACAAAATGTTGTTAGCTCACAAACCTCATTTTCCTCAAAGCATTTTGTTTCAATTATACTAAATTTACAAAAGAAAAAGGATTACTAAATTTCAACAGTCTCTTTTTTGAATAGTGGTTTGTAATATATATGTACAATTCCACATCACTTACAGTATACTAGGTATTATTTAAACTTACGTGAAGGCTATATATCTATAGTAATAATAATAGGATTCGACTTTAACCTTTAAATTTTTTATTGAATAGTTCAATAATTGGAATAAACAGTAGCACACGTGACTTAAAAGCGATTATCTCGTTTCCCCTTATTAATAAATAATACACAAAGTTTAATTTCTAAGTGTTTGTTAAAAGTGAGTTTACGGGATACTTTAGAAAACTCAGTCAAGTAAACTTACCTATTGAGCAATTACTTCAGGCTTGTTGAAAAACTAATAGCGATGTATTCAAATTTTTAATTTCGGCAAGTAATATCGTTGTCATGAGTGTGAGTCAGCGGAAACAGTGAAGTCGTCTTCTCGCATTAAAACTGTACAATCTCAAAACTTACTAAATATTGCAGGACAGTGTTTTAAAGGTTTAACATATGATATTTTTAACATTAATCATTTTTGCCACATTTATTTTTTAGTTTTTACCAGTTACATCATAATCTGTCTTTTAAAGTAAGATAAAATTATGTATTAATTTTGTTAATAGTAGTAAAAAAATACTAAAACTAAACTACGCTCTTTTGACAGTATTTATGAAAAAAATACTGATGATGATACCAAATGATTCTGAATAGTAACTCAATTTCGAATATTTTTGGAAATTGTACACTTTTAATGCGAAAAGACGAGGTATTCGGATCGAAATGCAAATATTTATGGGAAATACAAAAGTCCATGTGGTTTGAACTGAACTCCTAATTATTTTAAAGACTTTTGACGTTTCATATGCGAATGACCGCAGGATCCATCCTTAGTGGTTATCTCGGATAATATCAAAATTGCAGCGCGAATTTGACCTTGACCTTGACCTTGACACATGAGGTCGAAGTTTCAGTTGTGTTCTATGACGCATGTCACATCCTTCAAACTTGTAATCCCTGCGTTAATAAATTGCGGATGCCAATGATTATTTGAGTAGCGTACTTCAAAAGCAAAGAGTTAATCATTCATTACCATACTATGATGCGAATAAGATTTTATAAGCTAAAAGTACATTAGAATTACTAATTTAAACATAAAGCCCTGAATTAGACATATATTTTAATCCAGTAGTTTTAAATATAGTAAATATTAATTGAATGTCGTATCGCTTCTGGCGTACTGTGAAACGACATTTGAAAATAAGCAAAACAACTTATTCTACAATCGTATTTTTTATTTATTGCATAGATGGCTGGACTATTTCATAGCCCACCTAGTTTTAAATGGTTACCGGAGTTTAACGGTTAATGGAGCCCGTAGATATTAACCACGTAAATGCCGCCATCTAACTTGATTATAAGCGGTACTAGTAACGCGTTATGTGGCATCACGGCAGAAATAGGCAGGGTGGTGGTACCTACCCGTGCGGACTCACAAGACGCCCGCCTACTAGCAAGAGTGAGTAATTTATATAAAATTGATTATTATCATGATATTCTTCTCACTGTCGCTCTTTGCATTATTATTATTACAACGGCAGTATTATTTTCACTAAAGAAATATTGTGTCCTATTATAATGTTAACATTTAAGTTAATTATTTAAGTAACGTATTCTTTAAATATTTTTTGAGCTAAATAAGCAAATAATTGCGTTGCTAAGTATTTGTAACGTAAAGTAATACAGTCAAGTGCACTAATATGATATTAACATTTAACTTAATTATTTAAGTAGCGCATTCTCTAAATTTTATTGGACTATATAAGCAAATACTCGCGTTTCTAAGTATTGCAACGTAAAGTAATATTTAAGTAGCGTATTCTCTAAAATTTTTAGGACTAAATAAGCAAATACTAGAGTTGGTAAGTATTGCAACGTAAAGTAATACAACCAAGTGAATTAATATAATGTTAACGTTTAACTTAATGATTTAAGTAACGTATTCTCTATTTTTTTGACTAAATAAGGAGTCAATAAATATAACAGCGCGTACACTGCTGCCTAATTTAAGACATGAGCTTACAGTATCTTGCCTCATTTCGACTCGCAACTACATAGACATACCCTGTATTGAGCTAGTTAGAAACAAACGCTAATATAACATATTTTTACATTGATTAAACACTGAATATGATTTCAGTAGCCTAACTCGTTTACGAATATTGAATTACCCTAATAAAAATAACGTAGCTTGTAAATAGCACAATTTGAAATATTATTTAACCATCGTATCGAGAATCAGTAAACTATTCTTGTAATACTCGTAATATAATACTCTGTAATGCAAAAATATAAAACGAACAACAAATAACATTGGCACGTCATCAATTTTATATGAAAAAATCGGAACTAAAGATAACCTTAAATATAATAATACCTTTTTCCAAAGCGCCGACTTATTGTACGAAATCTTCAGTAGAACAAGCCCTGCATCAACACGTTTCTGCATGTTGGTGATGGTATTAATTTTGGCACGTTGGCAACTGCTTTAACTGATTCTTTCCAGAAAATTATCCAGCACATTCTATTCTCCTTGATTAAATAATCTGTTAAATATATCATCGATTTAGGCTTTGGTTTTTCTGTATAATATCTTCGAATATTTTTTACATTTGTCAAGATAATCACAAGTAGCAGAATTTCTAGCATCGTTACTCTTCAGTCAATACTATAACTATATAGAAGTTTGCTATCGACGCAAGGACCGGCTAAGTAAAAGTGTGGTTCGAACTGATTTTGTCTCGGTTTTATACCAATTTTCCTCATTAATATTCATAACGGTCCGATAAACAACTTATCGTAATTAAAACGGAAGGTATTGATCAGGACTGTCGAAACTGATGCATTTCAAAAGGATAATATGGCATTAGTTTATGTCAGCGTAGATAACTTGTTGATGATTTTACATTTATCGTATTTTGAATAAGGTTTTTGATGTATTTACTTGATGATGTTCTTCTAATTTACTCATAGTTCAGAGTACTTGGTATTTAAAAGTCATCTTTGTCTAACTGATAAGACGCCCGGTCCACTCTTACCGAGCGATGCGTCTAGGCTGGTGTTCAAATCCCGCAGACTGGTAGCAATTTTTCTAATAAAATACGTACTATAACGAATTATCAAAACAATCCCAGTTTAAGGTGTATTTTATAAATTCAGTATAACGATGTAAAATATATTTCATTGGTGCTATATCGACTGACAGCTTTTTGGAAAAAACTTCGTGGTTGCCCGGTGACGTCTTTGCCGCTCCGCCCGCATGCATGCCCCTTCAAGACCCACGAGGAGAACAAATAGGGATGTGCGCGTTATAGTACTTAATTCATGTTCGCAAATATATACACTATACAATGGCGTATGTACTATACAATTGAGACAATGGACCTCAAGTCTCGAGGTGGGTGGAGATATTCAAGTTATAATGTCTATGTGCTCCGACAGCCAAAGGAGACCAGGCGGGCCGTAAGCTCGTTCACCGGTCTAAGCAACAAAGAGAAACTCAGATCTCAAAGTAAGGACAAGACATTAATTAATTTTGGTATACACAATGTATACACGATCAAATGTTCATTCTTGAGATTCCTTGTGACTTTTAAAATCGTTCGACTCTTGTCTAGATTTAGGAAATCTTTGGTTTACAATTTGAATATGTGCTACCATATGGCAAGTCCCTAGGTTAGCTTAGTATAGCGTATGAGATAATTTGGATGTTACCATCCTACCTGAAATGATGACCACGACCGCTTTGCCAAGAATGCAAACGACTGTGAAGAATAATCCTGTCTGTGTATTATTATTGACTTATTAACGTTTGTAAATCTTTAATCAAGCACATCGCAATGAGATATAGTACGAGAACTTCACATTTGAGCGCCCCCGAACATGAATATGTTATTTGAGATGAATATTAATAAACGATGATTTCCTATAAAAGCCCTGCCGTTAAAATTTCGCCTCATTCTGATTTTACCTATCGGTTCAAAGAGAACGTGAAGCTCACAATTGTGTTGCACTTATTGCTATAATGAAATTGCTGGGTTTTTTCTTGTCGTGGGTTTCAGTATGCGCAATAGTATCAGCCAGCGAAGAACGACACATATATTGCGGGCGTTATTTGGCATACAAAATGGCCGATTTGTGCTGGCGTGCCGGCTTTGAGAAGCGTAGTGTCGCGCACTACGCCGGTTACGGCTGGCCGTTGCTGCCTTCTTTGTCGGAAGAGCGCGGCAAACGAGGCATCGCCGATGAATGCTGTCTCCAACCTTGCACGAACGATGTGTTACTGTCATACTGTTAGATAGCATCCTCAAAATTGACGTTCCTTTATAATTGAATTATTGTGCATAAAATTTGTTTGCAAGAAAATTTTTGGGTTTCATTCATTTGATATTATTAATAATTTCCTAAAAAGCTACTTAAATTTAACAATTTTTATGTAATAACTGTATGAATTGTACTTTATGACCTTACTAGTAGTAAGGTAGCTTCAGGTACACATTAAAGAAAATCTTTTTCATAGATGAAGGTTGAATGAAATTTAGTCCAGTTTTCAAACTAACGGAAAATTATTTTACACTCTATGTCAATTGTGTCCGTCATTGGATTATAGCGTGACTTAATTATGAAGCAATGGCTAACTGTCGTAAACTATTCATGTAACTTAACAAAATTTGTATCTTGGGCGATTTGAACTGGAGAAGTAATTTTGTGCTGTAAATCTCTCCTACACATATTATAAATTAGCTTAATTACTGGTGGTAAGGGAAATCAAGTCTACTAGCGCTGAGCTCACACTGTACTGCCTAGTTTTATAGCACGATGATGGTTGTGGGATCTAAACGCGTAAGGTGAGGTAAACGCTCATTAACGCAGCGACACATTTAAAAAAACAAAATGTGTGCAATTCACACGTGGTAGAAGTGAAACCTTCCAAAATTAAAATACAATTATCCTAAACGTCTTAAGTATATGTAAAATTTTGTCATTAGTAAATAATTGTAAGGTAGAGCCCTCTGTGAATTGATATTTTAATTTCACGTATAATCCTAAATTAAAATTCACTACAAGAGCTTTCATACACACGTTAGTATTAAAAAATCTCACAGATGGCGCTGTATTAAATAGTATGTATATTTCTGTCTCATTCTTTGCTGGCTTCATCCTACACATTTTTGTATTTGTGTCTCTTACCTGTCGTTTTTTCCGTNCTACAAGAGCTTTCATACACACGTTAGTATTAAAAAATCTCACAGATGGCGCTGTATTAAATAGTATGTATATTTCTGTCTCATTCTTTGCTGGCTTCATCCTACACATTTTTGTATTTGTGTCTCTTACCTGTCGTTTTTTCCGTTGCATCCGGTTTGAAATCACAACGATTCTAAAGAAGTTTTCACTTCAAAAAGGAAGTCAATGTTGGAACTCTCAAAGTACAATGTCATTGGGAATCGTTTTTTTTTATTGGTTAGATTGGTGGACGATCTCACAGGCTACTTGGTGTTAAGTGATTACTGGAGCCCATACAAATCTACAACGTAAATGCGCCACCCACCTTGAGATATAAGCTCTAAAGTCTCAAGTATAGTTACAACGGCTGCCCCACCCTTCAAACCGAAACGCATTACTGCTTCACGTTAGAAATAGGCAATTCGATGGTACCTACCCGCGTGGACTCACAAGAGGTCCTACCACCAGTAAATCTCGTTCTACTGAACATCTCCTTTAACATCTGGGATTTTCTTCTAATAGTGATGAAGGCCCTAGTTGAGGAAACTGAGAAGCTTCAAGAAACAAAACAGTCATGCTACATTCTGCCTTAACAACCAGTCGTTATTGGAGCAAAATTTATTCCTACTTCATTCAGGTATTTTCAGATTATGACATTCTTCAAATGATGATTGAAGAGCATCTACAGCGTTAGGCAGGGGCTGTGATGGTGTTGGTGTGGAATTTCTGACGTCCATGAGTGATTGTGAGTGCTTATAAGCAGATGGGCGGCACGCTTGTCTGCCATCAAGGGCAATAAAAAAAAGCTATATAACACCTTTTTTTGTCCGGCAGTAAAATCTTATTATTAACGATGCCCTTCCCGCTTCACAAACTAACACATCTAATTAAGAGTTAATCCGAGTTCCGCTATAGTCTGCGAATTTCGACTGCCCTTGCACCACACCTTATTCACGATTTCGTTGTAGATAATACTCCTTTCATCACGAGTGATCAATTTTTTCAAAAGCGGTTCGGTCTTTCAATAGAAAGTTTGAAATGAGTACACAATTAATTGGATTTCTTTCAGTGAGGTCATTTAGAATTCACATATTTTTTTATTTGCCGATTTTTTCGAAATGGGAAGAAGTATCTTGTGTGCACCTCCTCGTTCTTTAGGTATATCATAGCTATTAATGGCTATTATTTCTCGCCTTTTCCCTAAAATCGCACCGACGTTAGTCGTAACATATCGACCAGAGCGAACTTTTTGACATCAAAATTTTGCGGACTGAAATAGTTTGTATCTATTTTTTGCTAATATTATTAAGCATAAATGACACGAAATTTTTTTACCTCTTGTGACCTTTTTTTTTTTTTAATAACTGGACTTTTTGATTCGAATTTCTTCATTAGATTCAGTCATTTTCGCGGACAGAAAAAAAGGCAGCATACAATTTTACCCCCTTTTTTTCCATCAAAATGTCATATTTTTGATTTAGATTCTTTTACGCCATTTTAACATTAGTCTAACTAGTAATAGTACAAGTAATTCTGTTGAATGATTACAAACAGTAAATGTTAAGCAGCTATTTCTAGTGTCCGGAATCAGTTATAAGCTTTTGAAAGTATCGATAATATCGGAAAAATTTAGACAGAGTAATTGAGTTATTGCATGAATTAGAGTCATATCGTCATTGTAAAATAAATGCTTGCTTTTTTCACTTTTTGGACATTTTCACTATTCTTGTGGAAGTTAATAGACAAACCTAACTCTCTGTAAATTTACTGGTTGTAGGGCGTTTTGGATGCTGCATGGGTAGGCACCGCCATCCTGTCAATATCTGTCGTCTGGTTACCGGAACCCATAGACACCTACGACGTAAATGCCGCCAGCTACCTTGAGACATAAGTTCTAAGGTCTCAGTTTTTACAGTACAACGGCTGCCCTACCTTTCAAACCGATACGCATTACTGTTTCACGGTAGAAATAGGCAGGGTATTGATACCTACCCGTGGGGACTCACAAGATGTCCTACCACCAGTAAGAATTTTACCAGGTATTTAGGTAAAAATATAAAAAAAACAACATTTTATTCAATTATTTTATTCAATTCACTAATATTACATAAACAAAGTCAACGATCGAAAACAAGACAATCCAGTTTCTGTTTAACAATAAGAACTCAAAACATTAGTCGTGCACGGAACGAGACAGCACTCATCAGCTATGCCTTGGCGCTTGATACGCTCTTCGGAGTACGCCAGTAACGGCCAGTGATAGCCTTCGTACTGCGTATTGCGTTTATCAAACTGAACTCCGAAGCACAGATCTGCCATTGTAACTGCTAAGTGTCTTCCGCAATATCTGCGAGCGACTTCTTGTTGTCCCGACGTTGAACCGTAGATTGTGATGCAGAAAACAACAAATATGATGAGCTTCATGTTTCAATGATTTCAGTTACTTATCCTATTTACAGCTCTTATGAGATTCTCTTGATGAGATTGTCGGGACTGCCGAAAAGATTCCTCTTTGGAGTTTATATAGGGAAACTTTACTTAATTAATATTCAGTGAATTAACAAATTCGTTATATGTGGGCAGTTGCTGTCGATTATACATTAGAAAATTGCTCGATCATGGGCTAAAAATTCGGATAGATTAATATGATGTCGTATTTTCAGCATTCTCTGATTGTTTATTAATAATGATGATTTTTAGCACTGATGAGAACCGGACATGGTATTAGAATAAATGCCTCAAACTTTTTAAGACATACAAATCAGTTGCGTTGGATAATAATAAGTAAAAAAAACATCATTCATTAATTTGGACAAGTTGCTATTTCTTTTTATAATTTCTCCACCACTAATCTTCTTTTTTTTTGCCTCCCTAAGTTGATAGACTTGAGAGGCTATTTCAGCGTAACCTTTACTAGGAGGTGAGTTCACGGGGCTCAAACCTGACGACGTTGCTAACACGAACCCTAGCAAGTGTAGCCGTGCTTCGCAGAATCTACCACCGGATCGGAAACGCGACCCGCTGAGAAGGTCCGGCGAGAAGCTCAGTGGGCTGTGTCTGTGGGTTAATTTACTCGTCAAACCCTTCGTCGCAAGCGACGGGTTCGACGAGAACGATGACCGGTACTTGAGCTACCTAAAAGTACCGTTAGTGGATCGGGAGGATCCAAAATGGCGTGTTTAAACCACTCATCAACGTTGCCTTAAGTGTTCTGTTTTTACCACTCTATAGGAACGAATGGTCTTTCAGTATTACTGAGTTAAGATGGCCACTAGATTTTGAAACACAACAAAATTTACAATACCGACCTTGATACACGTGCAATATTCATTGATTTGATTAAAAAAAATTGAACAAGATAAAAAGCTCTTACTGTTTTGATGAATGACGTTATTGTAGAATAGTTATAATAAACCTTACGTAAAAATTTTAAAGTCGTATAATCATTCGTGTCACCACCACAATCACCTTAGAAATAAATTATATATTAAATATTCTTACAAAATGACTGGTAATTAATTTCAATCATAGTAATAAAGTCTGTTGTTTGTAATAAGGAGAAAAATAAATCAGGTCACGCAAATATGTAATTGTCATTTGAAAGCTTTGAAACGCTTGAATATATTGATCCCGTCAATTTAATTTGCTGAACCCCTCAGCCGATCACTGGTTAAGCTTACGTAGTGTCGCATCGATTACGTGCTCACATACTTGACTGTATACTAATTAACCAAGTTTCCATATAAAATGAGAGACTTTCGCACTCTCGCAACATTCACATCCTGCATCAAAACGAGTAGCACGTAAGGAATCATCATGAAACTGGTCATACTCCTTGTTGTCGTTTCTGCCATGCTCGTGTTAGGAAGAGCACAGACAGCCAGCCAATTTTATTGTGGAGACTTTTTGGCGCGTACAATGTCCATCCTGTGTTGGCCGGACATGCCGAAACGAAGCGGATCCCAGTACGCGGGCTACAGCTGGCCGTGGCTGCCCCCCTTCTCCTCGTCTCGTGGGAAACGCGGTATTGTCGATGAGTGCTGCTACAGGCCCTGCACAATAGACGTTCTGAAGTTATACTGTGATAATCAGTAGAGTAGTAACGGAAATTTATCCAATTTGAAATTTTTTGTTAACGCGTTATCTGGATTAAATAAATGGTTAACTTAAAAATATATGTTTTATTAAAATAAAAACACTACTACTTCTCTACTACTTCTACGTCTCGTCTACGTCTACTTTTATGTCCAGGGTCTTTTTTGGTCATCAGATGAGTTCTGTGGTAAGATATTATTTACGAAAATTATTATTTACATTATTTTCGAATTGAATACCAAACATACCTTTGAATAGAGGTGATAAAAAAGCCACTGAGACTTTCTAGACTTGAGAGAAGTTCATGTTGTGTATAAGATATGTGCACAGCATGCAAGTTTCTCAAACATCCCTTAAAACAAATTTGTTTTTAAGACGAGTAAAAAAGAGTCCTCCAATAAAGTAGTACTATTTGCAATACAGTAGAAGATGCATGTCACATTGTAATGGAGTGTTTGAGTAATGAAGTACAGGGACCGAGTTTGAGTATGACCAGATCGGCCGATATTGGTATTATTTTTAGTGATCAGACAGGTGAGCAAGCTTATTTCAGACCTGGTGTTAACTTGTTACCGGAATCCATACACGAGAATACTGCCACCCACATTGAGATAAAGATTTAATAGTTTATCTACCTTCTATCTTTTAGCAAACAGAGGTTCACTGCTCCTCCTGTTATGTTTTATTTTTTATTTTATTTTTATTGCTTAGATTTGTGGACGACCTCACAGCCCACCTGGTGTTAAGTGGTTACTGGAGCCCATAGACATCTACAACGTAAATGCGCCACACACCTTGAGATATAGTTCTAAGGTCTCAGTATAGTCACAACGGCTGCCCCACCCTTCAAACCGAAACGCATTACTGCTTCACGGCAGAAATAGGCGGGGCGGTGGTACCTACCCGTGCGGACNACGTAAATGCGCCACACACCTTGAGATATAGTTCTAAGGTCTCAGTATAGTCACAACGGCTGCCCCACCCTTCAAACCGAAACGCATTACTGCTTCACGGCAGAAATAGGCGGGGCGGTGGTACCTACCCGTGCGGACTCACAAAAGGTCCTACCACCAGTAATTACGCAAATTATAATTTTTGCGGGTTTGATTTTTATTGCACGATGCTATTCCTTCACCGTGGAAGTCAATCGTGAACATTTGTTGAGTACGTATTTCATTAGAAAAATTGGTACCCGCCAGCGAGATTCGAACACCAGTGCATCGCTCGATACGAATGCCCCGGACGTCTTATCCTTTAGGCCACGACGACTTTTAAACGACGACTTTTATGTCTACATAAGCCTTCTTCAAACCACAACGATCGGCCCTCCGCTGTCTGCATTCAGCGGATTCCCGCGAACCTCAATTGGTCGTTGGTCCACTTTGTGGGAAGTTTAACCACGCTAGTTTTTCCGGTACCGGTTGCCACTTGATAATCGGTAATCCTTTGGGCTATATCGGTCACCTCGGTCGGTTTTCCTGCGAATCTCCTTATTTCTGATATTACCTCGCAGGAAAATTTCAAGCACACTCATCTCTATTGCTCTTTCTGTGACCTTGAGCCTCCGAATAAGGCACAATTTGAGCGAACACATTTCATTGCCATATGTTTTTTTCCCTACCCTTTTGCTGGTAGCCTAATAGGATATTCCCCTCCGGAACTACTGTTAGTAGGTCGTCACGAATTAGACGCAATAATTTTATTCCCGCCATTAAAATCTTTGCCAGACCATACTGTGTGCTACGAAGGTCAAGTAATACATAGGGATCACCTTCGACGGAGGGATGACGTTCGGTTCCCACATTAAATTAGTACGCAACTGAGCCGCGTTTCTACTAGGTCGACTTTACCCCATGATTTGTAAGCGAAGTAAATTGTCCCTTCATACTAAAGTGATACTCTACAAAACTTGGATAGGTTCCGTCATGACCTATGCAAGTGTAGTGTTCGCTTACGCGGCCCGCTTACATACAAACTCTCTTCAGGTCATCCAATCCCGTGTCTACCGGATAGACGTCAGAATATCGTGGTACGTCAGAAATGTCGACCTTCACGACGATTTAAAGTTAGAACTGATACGTAAGTATTTAAGTTAGCGTCAGAACGCTACTTCGAGAAAGTGGCGCGACACGAAAATCCTCTTATCGTGGTCGCCGTTAGTAACTTATTCGACTCACTTTGCTCTTGCTAGGGCTAGTGTAAGCAAATTCTCTCAGTTAGAGCTTTTTCAAAAACTGACTTATTCGGGTAGCTGGAAGTCATCATGCTTGCGTGCGAGACCGTTTTAATAGCTTTCGAGAACAACTGATCGGAACTGAATCGGAAACGAGATATATCTATAATTCTTCAAACGATAATAATGATAACTTTAATGGCTTATGGCTTAAATTAGAGCGCATTGCTGCATCGCGGCAGACAATATGCAGGATGGAAGTACCTATCTGTGATAGCGATAAGGCTCCCTTGTAGAAAGCGGTAAAATTATCCAGAAATAAAAAGGTTTTTGTTTATTGAGTCAAATTTCCCGCTTTTCTGTAATATCGCAATGTATCCTAAAGGCAAGATTAGCCAATCCAGTATTAATGTTTAGGATGATTTAGTTAAATTAACGAATTCAAGAGAATGAATGATATTTATTAAAATGAATTTGAAATAAATTTAGTACAGTTTGCAGGTCACGTAGAAATACTCTATCCGCAGTACGATGCGAGAACGTCAAGTGTGCAAGGCCGGAAACAGCATTCGTCCACTACGCCGCGTTTCCCGCGAGATCCCAAGTATGCCTTCTGCCAGAAGTAGGGCGTGTACTGAGCACCACCGCGTTTCACCACTCCGAAGCACAAGTCGGCGAGTGTATCCGCCAAGTGAGATCCGCAATACGTACGCGCTACCTCCTGGGCCTCACCTGACCACATCAGGTTCAGCACGATTAATACAAAAACTACTGAAGTCTTCATTGTGGTTCTTTTTAAAGGATTTTGTAGAAAAGTCCTTATCAATCGAAAGTAGTTATTCGAGTGCCATATAATCAAGATGAATTTCCTATTTTATACTGAAAACTCCTTTATTATTCAATTAATTCCACCTCGTAACGTTGTGTAGGTGGACGTCAAAAGCAATCGACGCACGCAATTTAGTCTCGTGCCTTTATTGTGACAGGGCGGGTTTATAGGTGCTTGGACGTATACTACACAGTGTCAAACCGATTACGTTGACGGAGACCTTCCTAAAGGATCATTGCGACTAGGCATTATCGCTGAATGCGACCTCCAGGCTTGAACGCAGGAGGTCCCTCCTCCTTATTGTTGAACGCATTTTGATTGTGTGGCGGGTAGCCATCATACAACGCAAGATAATTGACAGATGCCTGAATCTCGCTTACGACATTTTCAAGATAAAGCGCATATATACAAGTTCCGAACAACAACATTTGCACCGTCCGTCTACCGAGCAAATATCACCCGCTCGGTGGAAGATCTTCAATCCATCGTATACCTACACTTGGTGACCTGCGACGGAACAATTGCAGCCTTCACACTTCATCATCAGCGCATCAAGAATTTCGGCTACCATAATTCCCGCGTTCTCGCAGATAAAAGCAAGTCATCGACAGTCGTCCCACAGCAAGCCAGCATCGCAGTCTCAACAGGATCATCGCAGCCGACTCACCGCGCCTCCAGGTCCTACGGCACGCACCTACACTGCCTCATCACGCCACTACAGTTCATCGCAGTCCACGACCGGATCATCAACGCTTGGGGTCACACATCTTTGGCGTGGCAGCTCTGCACACATGGACTACTGGCGATACGCACGCAACATTCAAGCTCAGTCTCGACTCACCGCAGACTTCGAGCAGTACTGGCGACAATCACGCAGCATTCAAGCTCAGTTTCGAAAATAAAATGAAATTCACTTAAAATAAATACACACATACCAGAATGGTACGAAAAAAGATACAAAAGTATTAAAAAATATGACAATGGCATGAGAATAATATATTCTAACTTGGATGAAACACTGTGGCTTTGTGTCTTCCTAGTCTAACTTCTAATCTACCTAGTCATTAAGGCAACTTATTTTAATAATATAATTTTCACAAACACTCGACGCAACCAAAGCGCAAATAAGTCAATGTCGTCGTAAACAAATACATCAACTAATGTGTCTCGACACATTCAGTTCACTGATTTCCATTGAATTATTGTTCTGAACGTATCTAAGACAAATTATACCTCCTCGAGAATTTGTTAATATTCATGAATCAATTTCCTAAATATAAATCACAGGCTGTGAACATTCGCCACATTCACATTTCATCAGTCGCATCAGCAAGACGTCCTCCGAAACATACTTTAGTCGACAAACATGAAGTTACTCCTTACTATTGCGTTAATGTTGTCAACAGTAATGTGGGTGTCAACACAACAGCCACAAGAAGTGCACACGTACTGCGGGCGCCACTTGGCTCGCACTATGGCCGACCTGTGCTGGGAAGCGGGCGTGGACAAGCGCAGCGATGCTCAGTTCGCGAGCTACGGCTCCGCGTGGCTGATGCCGTATTCGGCAGGACGCGGCATCGTGGATGAGTGCTGTCTCAGACCCTGCAGCGTGGACGTGCTTCTGTCGTACTGTTAGACCACTCCTTTACCAAACTAATTCGTTCTCAAAACATTTGGAAATAAATAGCTGTAAATAACAAAAAGTTGTTCTTCTCTTCCTGAACCATAACTAGAAGTGTTGACTGGCGATACACATACGGTTTTTAGACTTTATGTCGTTGATTTCAATTGGCAAAAGCAAAATAGAAAATTTTGTCATACTCTCGAGCCTAGGGCAAACGTTTATTTTCATGGCGTGGTTAGGCTCAGGGCTCACGCCTGGCTAATTTATATATAGCGATTATCAGAGCTCAAAGTATTCACAGTTATTTGGGAAACTAGAACCCAGGAACAATAATATTACTGCGTAGTACTTTTCTTAATCAAAAAATTACTTAAAACCAATAAATCAAGTCAAAGGAAAATCTCACGTAAGAGAGCAAATTTATGCCTAGTATGACTAGGTGACTAGGACTAGGCCTATAGCTGTTTAGGTTTTTCAGTTTTTACAGATAGCATTCACAAGTGCTCACGGCTAACAGCCTAATGATAAATAATGAATTGATAGAGCTAGTGGAAGGCCCACCTAAGTGCGTACAACTAGATCATCTATCTGTGAAAGTTAGTAAAACTAAAGACATAATTTAATTACAATCTGAAATGTTAGACTATATACGATGCCTTCGACCCGTTATCTATACTAATCTATCTATATTATATATATATATATATAATTGAATTGCTGTTCGTTAGTCTCGCTAAAACTCGAGAACGGCTGGACCGATTTGGCTAATTTTGGTCTTAAATTATTTGTGGAAGTCCAGAGAAGGCTTAAAAGGTAAAAAAATAAAAAAAGACATGTGGCACTCGGAGACTGCCGCGGTAAAGCTATTGCAGCATTTTTTATCTACTTATGCAATTATAAATCGACAATAATAATTTAATATTAAAACAACAATAAAATAAGCTCCGGCGAGAAACTCAGTGGGCTAATTTTCAATGAATCTGCTACATTGTGAGTATTCCATTTTAACCGCGCACTCACTAGAGGGCGCTACATGGGATAGAGACACGCCTTTGGATGCTAGTTCTAACTCTCATTCGCCCAGAATCAACGGTTTAGCTAGTTTATTTTTAATGCCACTCCAATCACTGAATGATTAGTAGGAGTAGTAATAAAATTCTTCGACTAAGCGATAGAAAATGGCACGCTCAACGCATTGTAATGTGATATAATTTTCTATTTTACAATTCCGTTTGTCGCCGATAGATGGCGCTTGACGCAAAAGCTGAATCGTGCTATCGTTGTGTTAACCACGAAATTATATCACATATTTTGATAGTACATAAATAGGTGCATAGATTTCTTACTTTAAACACTACACAAGCGCAACGTGTGAATGTGTTGAACGCGAGCTACATGGTAGGCATGGTAGGCGGAGTGGGGGTGGAGGGTTTTTTTCGTTACGGAATTTCACGATTCCACTCTCAAGCCGCGCTCAAGGCCCGCGATAAAATCTATGCAATAGCTTAAAAATGTTTTTCCTTTTATATGTCCCCCGTCGGGCGGATTCCTTTTGTTTGTTTTATGTTTATTTTATACAAAAGCTTAGGTCTTTTATTTATCGATTGAGGCACTACGAAGTCTGCCGGGTCAGCTAGTTATATATAAATCTACAGTGGTTTTTACGGATGTTCCGTTATAACTACTGAACCATGCACCCGATTGACTTGAAACTTGGTCTCCATGTAGAAAATACATGTACTTAATGGATAGGCTAATTTTTATATGAGTGGTGGACTCCCTACACCAGCTGCGGGGTTGTTAATGATGAGAATCATTGTGGGGGTGAGAAATAATAATGTTAATTTTAAATGCCCAGCGAAGCGGACGGGTACAGCTGGTATTCTTATACATTTTAGTGTGTAAATTTCGTTGTTACTATTAATCTCTGTTGCTTATTAAATTTAATTCGAAATAAAATAAGAGACTATAATATTTTTACTATTCGGAGTGTTTATTGAATAATAACAATATTTTCGTCCTATTAAGGTGATTATTGACTTTAGCTTAACTAAATAATTTCCTTAATTCCTTAATATCGTGACTTGTAGAATAAGTACAGCAAGAGTATGCGAGCGTGCTGAGTTTCTCGGTGGATTTTCTCATTAGGTGGCAATTCCGATTCGGTAGTAGATACGCTCGCGGAGTAGAGCGGCAACGCGATCCACTGAGAAGATCCAGCGAGGAATTCAGTGAGCTGTGTTTGAGGGCTCATTTACTCGTCGAACCTTTCGTAGCAAGCGAGAATGGTTAGCGGTGTTTAAAAGCACGGATTGAGGTACCTAAAAGCACCGATAGTGAATCGGGAGGACACGAAATGAGGTGTTTAGGGAGACGGCGACTGTTCGGTCCGCAGCATCATATATAGTTACCGGGGGCACGATAAGGGAGTTACCGTGTCGCGTCGTTTTTGCGAAACGGCGCACTGACGTTGACTGTAAACACTTACTAATGGAAACAAGGTCGTCGTGAAGATCCACGCTCCTCACGATCCACGGTGTTCCAACGGCTATCCTGCAAAAATGGGATTGAATGATTTGAAGGGGGTTTAAGTTAGTGCGGGCCGCGTGAGCGAATCTTACACCTGGATAGGTCATGACCATGGTAGTATGGAAGCTTTGTAGAGATTCACCTTATATCGAAGGGATAATTTACTTCGCTTGCAATTCATCGGTTAGTTAGATCATCACTAGGGGAGTTCGGGCAGCTGTTAGCAAGCCTTCCCTTCCTTAATTTGATTCATCCGTTCTACACACTTCTTAAATTCTCTAAAATAGTTGCGATCCTTTCTTTCCAAAATAAGCCAACAGTAAAATGGTATTGCTTAACCAAGCAAACTGTAGGCTTAACGCAAAGGCCAACTGAAAGTAGAGTGGATACTAAAAGCATCTTTTATTTTTTATTTTTTATCCTACCTAAGCTGATAGCCTTAGAGCCAAGTAGTTAGGCTATAATCTTGAACATTTAAGTTACTAATAATATCGCTGAACTACAAGCAGTTTTGTTGAATTGGACCATAGAAACTTTTGAGCCGAGCTAAAGACGGACTCCACAATAGGTGTTTCAATAAAAGTTCACTATGTAAATTTCTTGAGATTTCTTTTTGTGTAAGCACCGATTTTTAAATTTGATATTATTATTATCGATTATTACAAATAAAACACCACACAAAAGAAGAAAGAACTGTCATTGTGAAGGGACGGGGATGGAGAAGAAGAAAGTGTGGACAAAGAATTAGAGAAGATTGGGTCAGTCGAACCGTAAGTCCCGTTTCAGTCAACCTACCGGTCGGTCTCTCGATATCAATACTGCTGTAAATTGGAATGTCGCCGAAAACCCGTGAACATCAGTTTGTCAACGTTCTCAACAACAGAACATTCTGTTTAATTATAGATCCCCTTTCATCAAATCTCAAAGGGACTAAAAGCTTAAGTTAATTTAAGACACAATAAGGATAATCGCTGTTTTTGGGAACTAAATAATTTATAAATATGCTTAGACAACTTAAAGCGCAGTTCGCAACAAAAATGTCCAAGTTTTATAAATCTAAAAATGAAAAATCTCCATCCCAAAAGCGACCACTATTTTAAATAACTGAAATGCTTCTTTACTATGAGTTTATTAATTAAATCTTAATAGTAATCAATGACATTCGAGACACAAGTGAACCTAACCGCAGTAAGATAAGAGAACGTCAAGTGTGCAAGGCCGGAAACAGCATTCGTCCACTACGCCGCGTTTCCCGCGAGTTCCCAAGTGTTGTCTCGTCCAGAAGTAGGGCGCGTACTGCGCACCGCTGCGTTTCTCCACCCCGAAGCACAAGTCGGCGAGTGTATCCGCCAAGTGTCGGCCACAGTACGTGCGCGCTACCTCCTGCGCCTCGCCTGAACATATCAGACTGATCACGACTACTAACATGAGCATTACAGAAGTCTTCATCATGGTGCTTTGTAATCGTTTTAGGAGAAGGTCCTTATCAGTCCAATGTATTGGATTCGAATGTGATGTAAGCAAGACGAACTGGTTATTTTATACTGAAAACTCCTTAATTACTATTCAATTAATCCCACCTTACAATGTCGCGTGAGGGAATTAGGTGAACAGCACATTAGATACGAAAAATCGCCATCCGGCTGTATTCAGATTGTAATATATTATTTACTACTGCAGTCTGAATTCATTAAAATTTCAATTTACAATATTATTTTAAATCTGTAAATCTGATGCATTTAACTGCATTAACCATAATATAATCTTTTGAACATTGTAAATGTGCAAAATTTGATACAGTTCATTGATTTTTATTCTGGTTAACGACTGGAACCTACGCAATGTCAAAAAAATCACATGTCCATGTGTTATTACATAAATATTCATGATCTAATTGTCCATATATAAATGAAGGATGGCTTAGCTTTCTTCACATTCACATTTCATCAGTCGCATCAGCGAGACATCCTCCGAAAAACACTTCAGTCGTCAAACATGAAGTTACTCCTTGCTATTGCATTAATGTTGACAATAGTAATGTGGGTGTCAACACAACAGCCACAAGCAGTGCACACGTACTGTGGGCGTCACTTGGCTCGCACTCTGGCCGACCTGTGCTGGGAAGCGGGCGTGGACAAGCGCAGCGGTGCTCAGTTCGCGAGCTACGGCTCCGCGTGGCTGATGCCGTACTCGGAAGGACGCGGCAAACGAGGCATCGTGGATGAGTGCTGTCTCAGACCCTGCAGCGTGGACGTGCTTCTGTCGTACTGTTAGACCACTTATTTATCGAACTGAATCATTGTTTAGAATCGTTTATCATCATTTAGAAATAAATTAACGAATAAAATAACTTTCTTCTTTTAATATTACAAACCAATGTTAGGGTTACAAGATTTACATATAACAAATGCTCTGTGGCGGTTTACTACAACTTAAACAGAATTTATTGGTTGCAACTTATTACAATGAAACATCGTAAGCTATCTCACATCCAATGAAAGGATGCATTCGAGAATTTGACCTCACTTTTGATTACGAACCCGTACGTTGTGTGTTGTCGGACACGCTTTTGTCTGGTTTTATTTTTGCATAAAGGTAAAGAGAGACTTCTTCTTCTTCTTTGCTTTACACTCTTGAGCGAGTGGTCGTGATCATCATGTGGTATAAGGAGGGGGCAGATTTGATACGCCTTATGATGTACCATTAGAATTTAGTACATGCTAGTTTTTACCAGTAACGGTTGGTAAATGTTTCTTTTGGAAATAAAACAATGCATACTTCTCAATCATTTATTTCAATTAATAATTCAAATTCTTACATACCCATGAGTAATTATTAATCATTTGCACTACTAATCAGTCAAATCATTACCTATATATTTAGGTATTTTTGTTTAATAAGCAAGATGGGTCGTCGTACCCCCTTACGGGGGCACGGAATGAGCCTCGGGGTGAACCCCATGATGATTGGGCGAATGGCGGAGGTGGAGGTGTTGACGCGCCTAGTCGGGAGTGGGATGCTCAAAGTGGTGCTCGGAAGGCGACCCCTTTTGAAGAGCACCGCTGTGCTTTTCGCGGGGTTGATGTCGATGCGCCACTTCCGTAACCACTGTCCCATGGTGGTAGCTGCGGTATGGAGTCGCCGATGTAACAACGACTTCGTCCAACACGAGTAGTAGATAGCCGTGTCATCGGCGAAGAGCGCCAGATGGGTCTCCGGAGACCGGGGTATATCGTTGAAATACAAACTGAACAGTAACGGGGAGAGGGCGGAGCCTTGCGGGACTCCAGCTTTAACGTGACGGGGGCGGGAGCGCGTTCCCTCGACTCGATATCGGAACGAACGGTTCGACAAGTAGTCTCGTATGATGAGCACGAGTCTGTCTGGCACTCCCATGTTATACAGTTTCTATATCAACCCGTCATTTCCGATCCTGCGGACAGAATGGAAAGCAGTTGACGACGCCCAAAACACGTCATCTCGTATCCTCCCGATCCACTAACCGTGCTTTTAGGTACTTCAAGCACCGGTCACCGTTCTCGTCGAACCCGTCGCTTGCGACGAAGGGCTCGACGAGTAAATTAACTCTCAGACACAGCCCACTGAGTTTCTCGCCGGATCTTCTCAGTGGGTCGCGTTTCCGATCCAGTGGTAGATTCTGCGAAGCACGGCTCTTGCTAGGGTTCGTGTTAGCATCGTCGTCAGGTTTGAGCCCCGTGAGCTCACCTACTAGCCACGGTTACGCTGGAATAGCCGCTCCAGGCTACCAGCTTAGGTAGGAAAAAAAAAATATCAACCCGTTGTGCCAAAAATTGTCGAACGCCTTCACTGTATCGAAGAAGAGGGCTCTTGTCGGGATGGGTTTCCGCCTATTCAGCCCTAATAAGATGTAGAGCTGTAACAAACTGTATGTATTCATTACTGAGTAACGGGTACGCCATCTAGTACCGAGTAACGAAACGTTACTCACGAATACTTTTCGTTACTCGCATGTTTCGTATCATGGTTACATACGCTGTTTCAATGACGGAATGTTACGCTGCGTTGAAGCGTGTATTGAAACGTTTCTGACTGATCGTTTTGCGCATGCGTGCGTATTTTCCGCGAATTAAAAAGGTAATGTAAACTTAAGGACGTACAAGGAAAATAACGTTGTTTGATGATTTGTGAGATTCGTTATCCAGGTTTTTTAATATTTAAATATTCATTAGAGGCAGAGGTATTGTGTTCGTGTGTGGAACAGAAACAAGGTAAGAAAGATATTTTACAAATTTGATATAAGTATAGGAGTAAGGTATTAGGAGTAACGAGTAACGTAACGATACGATTGTAACGAGTACTGAATGTATAGTAACGAATACATACGGGTATGTTTTTTGGAGTTTACTCCTTTAGAATCGATTTACATATATAGGCCCGGGGTATGAAAATTATGGGGACCAAAATCGTACTAGCATGTCACACGAAATGCGTTATGCGCCTGATTGGCTCCTGATTGCGTGATGCGTGCGCGCGCCAATCAAAATCGTACTAGCATGTCACACGAAATGCGTTATGCGCCTGATTGGCTCCTGATTGCGTGATGCGTGCGCGCGCCAATCAGGAGCCAACGCGCGGCCGCGTTATCGCAGGTGACGCCGGGCTGCTGCGCCGGCAGTCCGCCACAAAGCCTCGTACTGATCGCGCGTTTCTCTCATTATTGTATTTTCATATATTTGTTAGTCGTTTGTTTTGTGTCTCGTTAATTTGTTAATAATCTGTAGTGTATCGTGTTGTCGTAATATAGAACTATTTCTCGTATTGTTTCGTTTAATTTTTTATATCCAGTAAACTCCAGTCGTGCGTCGGAGCGGACACACACACTTTTTTTTTCGTTACTTTTACACCTCTAATAAGATGTGCTCCGTGAGGCGGTGCCCTTGATGGATGCAAGAGTGTTTAGTTCGGAACCTAAACTGCTCGTCGATCAATATTTTATTGGACGCGACGAAGTCCTAGAGGCATGATATAGCAAGAGAAATACGAGAACGTCTATCAACTTTGTAACATCTCGTCACCGCGATTCAGGAATTATTGAATTTGCGTGCAGCGACATCTGTTGATAACAAAATAAATAGAAATAAAAGTATCTCAGGGCGCTTCGAGAGCCACGACAGCGTGCACGGGCGTCAAAAACACACTGAACTAGTCGGGGACGCGAGACCGTGTGGAGCGCTTCGTGATTTGTCGGCGCCGCTTCGGCAAGCCATTCGCGGCACACTTATTTTTTCGTTTCGTTTCATTTCGTTGCATCGCGTATGAAATCACAACGATTCTAAAGAAGTTTCACTTCAAAATCATCCTCCAGTGGTTTGTTACACTACTTAATGTAAAAAAGTATCCAGTTCTATTTTTTCTGTTTCAATCAGAGCTAAATATCTTTTAATAGACACGAAGAAACCGATTAAAAAAAAATATTTACCTATACATATATGCATAAATGACAATGAGCTCACAGCCCACCTGAAGTAAAATGGTTACTAGAGTCCTGAGACACAACAATTCGAATTTCACCGTTCACTCAGAAGTTAAAGTAATTTTACATTAAATGTATGTTTAATGTCAAAATTGTCTGAATTGTATAGCGGCAGTCCCGACCTTTAAATTAGAATGCAATAGAACTAAGCAGGATGGCGGCAGAACTAAGCAGGATAATGGCACTGCCCATCCTGGCTCTCAGTACCAACTCGCCTTTAATAATAACGGAAATTCATAATTTTTGTGTATTTGATTGTTTTTATGCAAAAGAAAACCATTCATTTGTTGTTCAGTTACTTATTTTTTTTTTAATCCGTCATTATTTGAGATCCAAGAAACAGCTTAGTCGCAGTAAGATAAGAGAACGTCAAGTGTGCAAGGCCGGAAACAGCATTCGTCCACTACACCGCGTTTCCCGCGAGATCCCAAGTATTGTCTCGTCCAGAAGTAGGGCGCGTACTGCGCACCGCTGCGTTTCTCCACCCCGAAGCACAAGTCGGCGAGTGTATCCGCCAAGTGTCGGCCGCAGTACGTATGCGCTACCTCCTGCGCCTCGCCTGAATACATCAGACTGATCACGACTAAGAAAATTTAAATAGTCTTCATTGTAATAGATTTGATTTACACAAAGCTTCTGTTCAGTCCAACGATTTTATTGGATGTGATGTAAACGAAAGGAAAATATTCTTTTATACTGAAAATCCATTAATTATTATTCAATTGTGTCCACCTGTTTATAATGTGTAGGAAGATGTATTTTGCGTCACAGGTGTGTCTTCTACTCAGCCCACGTCAAATCTGGATATATTTATTAAAGGGGGTTGAAATAAAATCTTCAAGAATTTGTGCAAAACCTACACACTGTCGAAACAGTTACCTAAACAAATAATGTATGCTGAATATTCATAACAGAGGATCTGATATAAAAGCATGGCCGACATCACATTCATTACAATGTGATTCCGAGTTTCAAGAGAGTTCTGATCTCATAAAACAACGAGTGGACTTACTAAAAAAGCCATGAAGTTGGTTGTGATCGTCCTGTTGGTGATTTCCGTCAGCATTTTGGTGTCAGCGCAAGAGTTAGGAGGCTCTCGTAGATATTGTGGACGACACCTAGCTCAGACTATGGCAGTGCTCTGCTGGGGCATAGATGAAATGTCAGCCGAGAAACGTAATAGTGATATGGTTTATGAAGACTCCGGCATGCCCGAACTTCTCCCGGCTGATACTCGTAAAAAGCGAGGCATCATCGACGAATGTTGTCTCCAAGCCTGCACCCGGGACGTCCTTCTGTCTTACTGCTAGACGACAGTTAAATATAACCAAAAGTTTTCACAACTACTTCAATAAATCTTTAACTTAATATGTATTTTTATTTTCCTAGACTGTTCCTAGTAAGGAGATCCTAGTAATGATAACGGATCTAACTGTTTAAAATATTAAATTATCATTGGTTCTTAATAAGTATGCCAAATTTTGAGTTAATTCGACGTTTTGAAGGGGGTCAAATCATGTTCAAAGTTTCCTTTAGATATATACGTGCTGACATACGCACGAACCTAATAAAAGCGTGTAAAAAAATGGAAACAATATGCAGTAATACGATAAAAGTATATAAGTATATCCTTTCCGTATTAAAAGAGATGCAATTATTGCACTTACAGTGTATACTACAGTTGCGTGTCGGAGTTGACACGCACGATTTTTCTTTGATACTACGGGGGTTCTACCCTTCGAACCGAAAAGGATGATTATTTATCTTTTTCTTGCCAATGTAGATGGATGAGCATACGGTCCGCCTGATGGTGAGTAATCAATGTGGTAGCAATACCAGAGGTACAGCTAAGCTGTCTAACACTGAGCACTCGCCGTGCACTTTGTTTGAAGAAGTACTTATCATAGTTCTCAAGAAATACCTAATTAATAAGCATTATAATTTAAAAAAAAAACTTTCCTCTAGTCAACTCCAAGGCCAGGTGGTATGTGGCAAAAAGATATATGGAAACGAATTATGATTGAACACAGCGGTAGCATGAACCGACTTTGCTCCAGTGACGGACAATGTCCATCGCATTTAGGCAAATAAAACGAAATCACAAGGCTATCTCAAACAATTCTTCAAAGCACCCCCGAATTTGCGGTAGGCAGCGGCTTGGTTATGCCCCTGGCATTGCTGAAGTCCATGGGCAACGGTAACCACTCACCATCAGGTGGGCCGTATGCTCGTCTGCCTACAAGGGCAATAAAAAAAAAAAACATACTTTCGTGGATGTGACAGTAGTGGCTAAAGGAATATCATCCATACGGGTGCTTTAATTTAGTAAAGAAATTAGCGATTTTATTAGGATGCAAGAATAATAGGTGGACTAAATGCTCAGTCAGAACAGATTTTCTAACAGCAGCCAGAGTGCCTCCGCAAGATACCTATCAGCTCGAGCACTAGTGCTTCGCGAATGCATATACTATATCTGCTCAACCTTATCACCGATGAGTGTTGGTATCAATAACTCGAAATTGTCATTAACGCCGTTCTAGTTTTGCCTGTCTTCTTCTGTTATACGCTAACCAACGTAATAGTGGCCTTTCTATTCCTAATACGACAATGAGTGAATCTGTTATGTTGACAGCAATTCGCCAGATGGTACCCACTCATATTTATTCTAGTTTGTACCCATATTTGGCATCATCTGTTAGAACAAGAGCCCTACTAGTTTTAATTCAAAATTCATTTCAATTGAAACAGATTAAAAATTAAATCCCTTAGTTAAAATAATACATTACTTATCCTGCTATTATGTTTTAGCTCAATGATCCAAATCGCATCCACGGCTCCGAAATAGATTTTTTTATTGCTTAGATGGGTGGGTGAGCTCACAGCCCACCTGGTGTTAAGTGGTTACTGGAGTCCATAGACATCTACGACGTAAATGTGCCACCCACTTTGAGATAATATAAGTTCTAAGGTCTAAAGTATAGTTACATAGTTACTATACAATATAGTTTCTTCACTCCTCTTGAACTTACGAACTCTCTAGTCAGTAGAAACTCGGTATATTACTAATTTTTTATTTAAAAGTACTTATTTTAATAGGTACCATTAATAAAACATATATTATTTTAGTACATAATTTATTTAATATAAATCAGGCGTTTACGAAAATTGTCAAATTGTCGAGTTTTCCGCACTAGTTATCGCAGTATGACATCAGAACGTCTATTGTGCAGGGTCTGTAGCAGCACTCATCGACAATACCGCGTTTCCCACGAGACGAGGAGAAGGGGGGCAGCCACGGCCAGCCGTAGCCCGCGTACTGGGATCCGCTTCGTTTCTGCATGTCCGACCAACACAGGCTGGACATTGTACGCGCCAAAAAGTCTCCACAATAAAATTGGCTGGCTGTTTGTGCTCCTCCTAACACGAGCATGGCAGAAACGACAACAAGGAGCATGACCAGTTTCATGATGATTCCTTACGTGCTACTCGTTGTGATGGCAGGATGTGAATATTGCGAGCGTGCGAAAGTCTCTCATTTTATATGGAAGCTTGGTTAATTAGTAAACAGTCAAGTATGTGAGCACGTAATCGATGTGACGTTACGTAGGCTTAGCCAGTGATCGGCTGAGAAGTTCAGGAAATTAAGTTGACGGGATCAATATATTCAAACGTTTCATAGTTTTCAAGTCACAATTACATATATGCGTGACCTGATTTATTTTTCTCCTTATTATTTTATACACATTGAACTTTACTATGATTAAAATGAATGCCAAATTAATTTACGAATTCATTTCATATATTATATAATTACTAGCGACCCGCCCTCGCTTCGCTTCGGAAACATTAAAACACACATGAAACCAAAAATCAAAAATAAAAAAATAAATAAAAAAAGTAGCCTATGTTCATCAGGGACAATGTCGGCTTCTAATGGAAAAAGAATTTTTCAAATCGGTCCAGTAGTTTCGGAGCCTATTCGAAACAAACAAACAAACAAATCTTTCCTCTTTATAATATTAGTATAGATAATTATAAATTTCATGTTTTCAATTAATATTACGTTTTTTTTTTAGTTTTTAGCCTTAGTTGGTTTTTAATTAATGAAATAATTCCCCTTAGACCTTAGTTGGCGGATCACTTTACAGCCTTTTAACGTAAGCCTTTTTGCTCGTCTACCTATCTGAGCAATAAAGAAAATCCTGAAGAAATATTTCACAAAATTTAGTAAGCGGCCACTGCCACAAACATTGGAATATCCTCACAGCACAAGGGTATCGGTTAAAGAAAGGGTTACCTGTTTACCAAGTTAATCATATTGTGTTATATATTATTATATGATATATATTATTTTTCGGATGTACAGTCTGTCTGTACTAATAACATACTAATAATAATAACATATGTATGCGTTATCTTTAGTGGAACATTCCAGAGGAAGTGATTCCACAGATACGACGAGAGAACTTACCATTGTCGTCATCCCAGCCTCGACTTGGTCGTTCCATTACATATATTGAAGTCGTCGAGGCCTAAAGGATAAGACGTCCGGTGCATTCGGATCTAGCGATGCACCGATGTTCGAATCCCGCAGGCGGGTACCAATTTTTGTAATGAAATACGTACTTAACAATTGTTCACGATTGACTTCCATGGTGAAGGAATAACATCGTGTAATAAAAATCAAACCCGCAAAATTATAATTTGGGTAATTACTGGTGGTAGGACCTCTTGTCAGTCCGCACGGGTAGGTACCACCGCCCCGCCTATTTCTGCCGTGAAGCAGTAATGCGTTTCGGCTTGAAGGGTGGGGCAGCCGTTGTAACTATACCTTAGAACTTATATCTCAAGGTGGGTGGCGCTTTTACGTTGTAGATGTCTATGGGCTCCAGTAACCACTTAATATCAGGTGGGCTGTGAGCTCGTCCACCCATCTAAGCAATAAAATATATATATAACTTGGCTGTAGGGTGTGTAGGTAGAACATATAGCTGCGATTGGTGTAGGTGTGATTAATTGAATAGTAATTAAGGGGTTTTCAGTATAAAAGAACCAGTCCGTCTTGCTTACATCACATTCGAATCCAATACGTTGGACTGATAAGGACTTTCTCGTAAAACGATTACAAAGCACCATGATGAAGACTGCAGTAATGTTCATATTAGTAGTCGTGATCAGTTTGACGTATTCAAGCGAGGAGCAGGAGGTAGCGCGCACGTACTGCGGCCGACACTTGGCGAATATACTCGCTTACGTGTGCTTCGGAGTGGAGAAACGCGGCGGTGCGCAGTACGCGCCTTACTGGCAGGAGACATACTTGCGATCTCGCAAGGGACCCGGCGTAGTGGACGAATGTTGTTTCCGCCCTTGCAAACTAGAGGTTCTCAAATCGTACTGCGGTGTGTAATGTATTACTTTAACAAAAGTTATCTACTGACTGTTTTTAAGATCAACGTCTTAAGATAAGATATATTTATGTAATAAATTGCCAGTAAGAAGTATTTCTGAGTTGTTTTATTAAATTAAAAGTTATCGTCTGAGCGTCTTTTGTCAACTTAGCTGTCAAATCTTTTGTCAAGCGGATAATTTAGTTTGAAGTTGCAAGGGAAACATAAAATTGGCAAAAATGTTTGACCATTGGCTAACTTCATCAGTTAATTGGTTTTAATTCAATGCTTCTTAACGGCACGTAGCCCTAGTTTATGGTCAGACGTTACTACCTCGCCGTAGCATCGTAACATAGCATAACAATTTCCCTCGGGTTTTGCCACATAATTAAAACCACTTTTTACACTGCAGCTCTGTTAGATAGGTTACAGTAAGTTTTAAAGAGCGGGCACTGTTAATATTGGTAATATATGACGTGTTTCAAAGGACAATCGAGTATTTCTATATAAATATGTCGTAACTTATTGAGATAGGCCTTAAAAAAATGTATCGTGTTTGTTAGATCTAGTTTGCACATAGATGAAGTATTTATTATTTGTACCATATCAGGCCCAGTGTTATTGACTTGGTATAGTCACTGACAATTTTGCGGGGGAATGCTAACACGAGGCGTATGAGCACAACGGGTCATTTCATGTGTTAATGTCGATAGGTTGAAGGTAGGTAGGTAGAATTTAAAAAAAATTACAAAGTAATTTAATGTGGCACTATGCTACTTTTCGCTTGAAATTTGATCAAATTACTAATAATTTATAATATTCCAATTATAGATTAATATTGTTTGATATCGTCTCTTGCATATATTTCTCTCTTTTGAGTGCCATTAATTGTTTAACAAGCAAACTTTGTAAAATAGTTTTTATTTTTTTATTTTTTTATTTATTTTTATTGCCTTTGTAGGCAGACGGGCATACGGCCCACCTGATGGTGAGTGGTTACCGTCGCCCATGGATTTCATGCAATGCCAGGGGCAGAGCCAAGCCGCTGCCTACCGCTTAATACTCTCCATAAGCCTCGTTTGAAGAAGGACATGTCATAGCGCTCGGGAAACACCGTGGAGGGGAGCTCATTCCATAGCCGGATGGTACGTGGCAAAAAAGATCTCTGGAAACGCACTGTGGATGACCGCAGTGGCTCCAGGTAGTATGGATGAACCCNTTCGTGCTGCGATAGACGACTGGCCGCGCAGATTGAAGGCCTGTATTCAAAATCACGGAGGTCATTTTGAATAAACTTTAGTGTCATAAGAATCTATGTTTTGTTAAGTTCATTTTGGTATATGAATGGTTACATAATGAATAAACTTGTTTCAATTATTTTACATTAAACATGTGACAGAATTTATGACCTGACTAGGTACATATGTCGTAACTTATTGAGACAGGCTATGAAAAAATGTATCGTGTTTGTTAGATCTAGTTTGCACATAGATGAAGTTTTTATTATTTGTACCATATCAGGCCCAGTGTTATTGACTTGGTATAGTCACTGACAATTTTGCGGGGGAATGCTAACACGAGGCGTATGACCACAACGGGTCATTTCATGTGTTAATGTCGATAGGTTGAAGGTAGGTAGGTAGAATTTAGAGAATTTGACAAAGTAATTTTATAGGCACTATGCTACTTTACGCTTGAAATTTGATCTAATGACTAATAAGTTATAATATTCCAATTATAGACATTTATGTTTGATATCGTTTCTTGCATATATTTCTCTCTTTTGAGTGCGCATTAATTGTTTAACAAGCAAACTTTGTAAAATAGTTTTTATTTTGATTGAATGTGATTCTAAGATAAGATCTAATTACTACAGCGTTTTTGAATTATTTTGTAATCTATAATTCATATATCTAACGCAAACCACGCTAACATACCTAATATATAAATTCTGTTCAGAGTAAGTGTTTCTCTGTTCAGAGAGTCTGGTGGTGTCTACGAATAAAGGTGGTATTCTCGTAAGGCACTTGGCTCCGGCCTCAAAGACCATGCATTGACTTTTTTTAATGTTATACACTAGGTTAACATACCTCTCACGTATATGTATGTAGGAGCCTCGCCAGCTCACAGGGAGACGCACTCAGCATCACCATGTCGTCACCATTTCATAACTGATATTATTGATATTGATACCTTCAACATGACAGCCGACATGTGTGCTGCTAAGCTCGTCAATCAGAGCATTGACGTACAGATTAAAAAGNTTAGAGAATTTGACAAAGTAATTTTATAGGCACTATGCTACTTTACGCTTGAAATTTGATCTAATGACTAATAAGTTATAATATTCCAATTATAGACATTTATGTTTGATATCGTTTCTTGCATATATTTCTCTCTTTTGAGTGCGCATTAATTGTTTAACAAGCAAACTTTGTAAAATAGTTTTTATTTTGATTGAATGTGATTCTAAGATAAGATCTAATTACTACAGCGTTTTTGAATTATTTTGTAATCTATAATTCATATATCTAACGCAAACCACGCTAACATACCTAATATATAAATTCTGTTCAGAGTAAGTGTTTCTCTGTTCAGAGAGTCTGGTGGTGTCTACGAATAAAGGTGGTATTCTCGTAAGGCACTTGGCTCCGGCCTCAAAGACCATGCATTGACTTTTTTTAATGTTATACACTAGGTTAACATACCTCTCACGTATATGTATGTAGGAGCCTCGCCAGCTCACAGGGAGACGCACTCAGCATCACCATGTCGTCACCATTTCATAACTGATATTATTGATATTGATACCTTCAACATGACAGCCGACATGTGTGCTGCTAAGCTCGTCAATCAGAGCATTGACGTACAGATTAAAAAGCTTACGGGAAGTCAGTCCCCCCTGCTTCACCCTGCACTCCAACCTGTACGGTTCGGACAGCGTTTCTGCCCAACTCACAACGCTGACCTGGTTGCTGTACTAAAATTAAAAAATGCTATTTACTTCTGGTGGCACTTTGGTATCCTCCAGTTTTTGCCATAATGTATCGTAGCAGATCAAAAGCTATCGATAGGTCAAGGATGCGATGAGTCTTTCTATCAGTGTAGTACACAGTCCGTTTTGGGCACAAAATTGCACTTTATGTGGAAAGACCTGGTCTAAAACAAAACTGGTGGTGATGGAGCAGTAGAAATTTATCCAGCTCAGAATATTTCATGCCCAATCAGGCCAATGTTTAATGTATTTGTGACCTTCCAAAAGTTTTTAAAATATTTCTTTGAGTTATGTGATCCAACTTCAGCAACTGAATCGATCCAACTTCACCTGTTCCTCGTTATTTTGGCACCTTCTTAGGCGCGCTTTAAATATCGATCTACTTTTACACATATCTTCATGTATAGGACCGAATTTAGGCTTTTTATAATTTAACCAAATTAGAAACTTGAGTCTAGGGGGTAGTTGACTTGAGTTAGGGGTACAAAAGCACGAGCCGGGGGCCGGAGGAGGGCATTTGTCCAGCTCCGGCCCCTATGAGGAGGCAGTCTCCTCCCGGTTATGGTCAAGGGGCGACCTAAGGGGGTTGAAGTTGCGCCGCACGCTACCGTCACTCTAGCGCGCTGGCACCAGGAGGACGGGACGGTGCGTCGGCAACGGCGGACTGCGATGCGGTCTGCATTTTCGTCGTCGCTGTCGTCGCCGAACATACTGTGGAAGAGCAACCCGGTCGGCGGTGTATCGCGTTCCGACCCGGCAGGCTGGTTCTGGCCCAGCGGGGTAGTTATTACATAAGTGGCCACAACAGTCATGCAATTCCTGAAGAAAATTTATATCCCTTCGACGTCCATGATAGTATTGTGTGTATAATTTTATTTCATTATAATTTCTTAGACTCAATTTTTAATATGTCAATTGGGTAACTCTTGTGGTTGCCAACGTTTTCCTACAAATAGTAACGTAATGAATTACGGATCCTTATCTAGGTATATAACATGTCTCATATGTTTGACAACTTTAATAAACTACTTTCTAGTAATTTTCAATAATAAGTGGCTTTTTTTTGTGTCTTTGAAATTGAAAAGAAAAGTGTAAAGGTCATAAATGTGATGGATATTTAATAATGACATATGACCATAAAAAGTTACTTGAACTTTTGGTGTGAGACACGTCTCAACATCACTCATCACATGGGGCTCTAACATCCAGTTAATATCAGGCGGTTGGTAAGCTTCTGTGATTTTCGCGCTAATGAAGAAAAACGATAGTCTGAGGCTTGGAAGCTTGCTTGCCAATCAAAATCATCTAAATGATGTCTAAAAAACTGTATCTAAATCTCCAGTCAACACTTTCAATTGTGGTTCAGGAAAAGAAGAACTTTTTATTATTATTTACGGTTTTTTATTTCCAAATGTATTGATAACGAACCAGTTCGGTAAAGGAATGGTCTAACAGTACGACAGAAGCACGTCCACGCTGCAGGGTCTGAGACAGCACTCATCCACGATGCCTCGTTTGCCGCGTCCTTCCGAGTACGGCATCAGCCACGCGGAGCCGTAGCTCGCGAACTGAGCACCGCTGCGCTTGTCCACGCCCGCTTCCCAGCACAGGTCGGCCAGAGTGCGAGCCAAGTGACGCCCACAGTACGTGTGCACTGCTTGTGGCTGTTGTGTTGACACCCACATTACTGTTGACAACATTAATGCAATAGCAAGGAGTATCTTCATGTTTGGCGACTAAAGTGTGTTTCGGAGGACGTCTCGCTGATGCCACAGATGAAACGTGAATGTGAAGAAAGCTAAGCAACCCTTCCTTTATATATGGACGATTAGTTAATGAATATTTATATAATAACACATGGGCATGTGATTTATATGACATTGCCTAGGTTCCAATAATTAACCAATGAACTGAATTAAATGTTGTACATTTACTTGACGCAACTTTTAACTTTGAACGCCTAGCAAAATTTATAAATATTTGTCATCTTCATTATGTAGTAGGTAGTAACTAGGAGACAAAGTAAGCATCATCCGGTATCAGTGGTGAACTTAGAACCAGTTCATAACGCTCGATACACGCGTGGCTGGAAGAGAGCGTTTATGACTTTATCAGAGCTGTAGTCATCATCATGCTTTGTGGATTATTTATGAAAGTATGGTGTGGTATGAGTGCTTTAATAGCTGGAATCATTTCAAAAGATTCGTAGTGGCAAATTCTACCATAGAGGAAAGCGCGTGTCAAGTAATGACCGGGTTACAATGTTGAAATCATTCTAAGAAGTCTTAGATTAAGACTGTCTCGTTTGATGCGAGGTCCGACAAGCCTAAGGTTCGCTAAACTCTGGTCTGCAGACTGGTATTCTCCAGTAAAGCTCCGAAATTATCGTTTTACCAGTTCATCAAATGTACACGTACCGAATTCTTGTGCTGGAATAGAACATTCACAGTAAACAGGACAGTAACCAAGTTCAGAGACTTTATATGCGAAACGTGACGCTACTCGAGGATCAATACCAACTGCATCATTATGAATAATTAGGTTTACATCCGCCGGTCTAATTTATTTCACAGTGTGTAGGTTTCATTCAGGCTTTAAAACGTTTGACCCGGGTATAAATGAAATTTTCTAGATCTCTGGTCTAATGTGCTTTTGACGTAATGGACCCACGCGACTTTGTAAAGTGGGATTAATTGAATAGTAATTAAGGAGTTTTTAGTATAAAACCACCAGTTCATCTTGCTAACATCACATTCAAATCCAATACGTTGAGCTGATAAGGACCTTCTCCTAAAACGATTACAAAGCACCATGATGAAGACTTCAGTAATGTTCATGTTAGTAGTCGTGATCAGTTTGATGTGTTCAAGCGAGGCGCAGGAGGTAGCGCGCACGTACTGCGGCCGACACTTGGCGGATACACTCGCCGACTTGTGCTTCGGGGTGGAGAAACGCGGCGTTGCGCAGTACGCGCCCTACTTCTGGACGAGACAATACTTGGGATCTCGCGGGAAACGCGGCGTAGTGGACGAATGCTGTTTCCGGCCTTGCACACTTGACGTTCTCTTATCTTATTGTGGTTAGGTTCAATTGTATCTCGAATTTTATTGATTATTATTAAGATTTAATTAATAAACTTGCAGTAAAGAAGTATTTCAGTCATTTTAATATAGAGAAAGTTTTGAGATGAACATTTTACATTGTTAGAATTTTAAAACTTGGACCTTTTTCTACTCATTTAAAGATGGGTATTTAGCTGCGTTTTAGTTGACTCTAGCTTATAAATTTTTTAGTCCCTTTGAGATTTGATTTGAGGCGATATATAATTAAACAGCGCCATTAATGGCGTCGCATCGCGAGAGCATCGGTATCACAGGATTCGACTGATGCCTGACCACGACCACTCTGTCAAGAGTGTACGCCTAGGATGATAATTAAACAGAGTATTCAGTTGTTGAGAACAATGAACTGATGTTTAGAGTCTTTTCACTCCCAATTTTTGTAGTATTGATGTCGATAGACCGACCGATATGTCGACTGAAACGGGATTCTCTGTTCTTATCCGACTCAGTCTTTTCTAACTTTTTGTCCACTCTGTCTTTGAATAATTGACAAATTAGATGACACTTTCTTGACTAACAATTCCGCTAAGTTTGCGCACTGTCTCAGCATACTTCCCCATTTCCGTCACTTTACAATGACAGTCCTTTCGTCTTTTTTGTGACGTTATATTTCTCATCATCAGGACCGTCACAGGTGACAATAGACAATTTTAAAAGTGGCCACTTGCACAAAAAAAAAAAGACTTACGAAATTTATATAAGTAGTGCATTATTGAGACACCTATTGTTGAGTCGGTCCTTGACTCACTTCAAAACTCTTTTAGGTCTAATTCAACCAAACTGCTTGCAGGTTAGCGATATTCTTAGTGTCTGAAATGTTGTTATAGCCTTACTACTCGGCAGACGCTTTTAGTACCCACTCTGTTTTTAGATAAACTGTACTTGGTGTGGGCCTACAATTTGCAACCTGTAGATTTGCTAGTTTAAGAAATATCAATAGGCTGTTGGCTTTTTTCATCGGCAGCTATTTTAGAGACTTTGAGAATTGAGTAGCATGGATGAATGAAATTCAGGAAGGAAAGGCTTGCTATCAGGTGCCCCAATTCCTTTAGAGATGAGGTCCCACAGAGATCAGCTCGGAATTGCGACCTAATGAGAAATTCCGGCGAGAAAGACAGGAGGCTGGCTTACACTTGCTTCACTTAAATTTGTTCTGCCAGTCACGATACAATAGTATACCTGAAAATATTGTTAATGTCCAATAAATACTCTGAATTGTACAGTAATAATATTCTGTTATTTTATTTCGAGTTAAATTTAATATGCAATAGAGATCCATAGTTACAACAAAATTTATCAGTAAGACAAAAATATGACAGTTTGAAGATATTATATCTGAGAATACGAAATCATACCATTGTGCCGACTCAAAATACCCCTATAGCTAAAAAGACCAACCTCTTGGAGGAAGTTGAAAGAGAAAAGGAAGAATAACAGATGATAGAGACTAAAAGAGGAGAGAAGATAAAACGTGTAAGTGGCCTTTATAGAATTGATTGAGACATTAAGATAAACACTATATAGTTAAGCGTGTTTAATTAAAGATACCCTACATGAAATGAATTTAGTTTCATTAACTTTGCAGGGAGATGCTCAAGTTCTACACACTTAGGCGAGCATTCCTTCAGCATGACCAATATATTGTTAATAGTATTTTTTTTTTTTTTTTTTTTTTTTTTTTTTTTTTTTTTTTTTTTTTTTTTTTTTTTTTTTNTATACACTAGGTTAACATACCTCTCACGTATATGTATGTAGGAGCCTCGCCAGCTCACAGGGAGACGCACTCAGCATCACCATGTCGTCACCATTTCATAACTGATATTATTGATATTGATACCTTCAACATGACAGCCGACATGTGTGCTGCTAAGCTCGTCAATCAGAGCATTGACGTACAGATTAAAAAGTTTACGGGAAGTCAGTCCCCCCTGCTTCACCCTGCACTCCAACCTGTACGGTTCGGACAGCGTTTCTGCCCATCTCACAACGCTGACCTGGTTGCTGTACTAAAATTTAAAAATGCTATTTACTTCTGGTGGCACTTTGGTATCCTCCAGTTTTTGCCATAATGTATCGTAGCAGATCAAAAGCTTTCGATAGGTCAAGGATGCGATGAGTCTTTCTATCAGTGTAGTACACAGTCCGTTTTGGGCACAAAATTGCACTTTATGTGGAAAGACCTGGTCTAAAACAAAACTGGTTGTGATGGAGCAGTAGAAATTTATCCAGCTCAGAATATTTCATGCCCAATCAGGCCAATATTTAATTTATTTGTGACCTTCCAAAAGTTTTTAAAATATTTATTTGTGTTATGTGATCCAACTTCAGCAACTGAATCGATCCAACTTCAGCTGTTCCTCGTTATTTTGGCACCTTCTTAGGCGCGCTTTAAATATCGATCTACTTTTACAAATTTCCTCATATATAGGACCGAATTTAGGCTTGTTATAATTTAACCAAATTAGAAACTTGAGTCTAGGGGGTAGTTGACTTAAGTTAGGGGTACAAAAGCACGAGCCGGAGGACGGAGGAGGGCGTTTGTCCAGCCCCTATGAGGAGGCAGTCTCCTCCCGGTTATGGTCAAGGGGCGACTTAAGGGGGTTGAGGCTGCGCCGCACGCTACCGTCACTCTAGCGCGCTGGCACCAGGAGGACGGGACGGCGCGTCGGCGACTGCGGACTGCGATGCGGTCCACATTTTCGTCGTCGCTGTCGTCGCCGAACATACTGTGGAAGAGCAACCCGGTCGGCGGTGTATCGCGTTCCGACCCGACAGGCTGGTTTTGGCCCAGCGGGGTATCCCGGAACACCACTGGCATCGCCCGGGCGGCCTAGTAGGGCCACCGTACCGCGGAGACCGACGTCGTTGGTCGTTGACTATCGCCTCGACGACCCGTTGGTCGGGCGTCCTCGGGGTGGCGCCGCGTGTCTGGTTGTAGTGTTCCGCGGGAACTCCCCTACTCTGACCGGGTTCTGACCCCGGACGGAGATCGGACGTCGGGTGTTAGAGTGCAGGGAAGTCGTTTAGTGGGTGGGCCCTAAAATCCTTGGGCCCGCGATCTGCTCTCAACACAAAAAAAGGGGTACAAAAGCAGCTAAATGTCGTGCAGAGAGGTTTCGCCCAAAAACTGTGCAAAGCCTATGACACAATCTCCTTGAACTCAGCGCTTATTCTAGCTGGGTTGCTCCCTTTCGATCTACGCATTCGCGAGGTGGTTTCTTTATATGAAGCCAAGAGGGGGATACCCCAGCCATCGCTTGGCGACAGGGAGGTAGAACCGTTGTCCCCAGCGATAGAGGCCCCACACCCTGCAGTGCAAACTAGACTAGAGTTCGATACCTTTATAAACGAGGAACAGTACAATGGCCACAGCAATTATGCTGTACGAATCTTTACGGACGGCAGCAAGATTGAGGGTAAAGTTGGAGCGGCGCTATCCTTGTGGAATAGAACCGCCGAAACTAAAACCATCAAGCTCGCGTTGCCATCCTATTGCACCGTCTATCAGGCAGAACTCATAGCTCTATGGAGGGCGACGGAAGAAGTGGCGAAGAACCGCGAGACCTCTTTCGGTATCTACAGGGACTCTTTTTCCGCTCTCCAAACGATAACCAACCTCAGTTCCCCCCACCC